CTTTTTGCTCTTACCTTGCATCAGAGGGTAAAACCTCCAGAGCTCTGCTGCTGCTGTTAACCACATTCTCACAGAAACACTTCTCCTTCAGTTCTCAGAAGAGAAATAAAGAAGCAGCAGGAGAGGACTCTTTAAAGTAGAGACACTCCATACTGATATACAACTGAACATCAGCAGGAGAGGACTCTTTAAAGTGGAGTCACTAAATACTGATATACACCTGAACATCAGCAGGAGAGGACTCTTTAAAGTAGAGACACTACATACTGATATACACCTGAACATCAGCAGGGGAGGAGTCTTTAAAGTAGAGACACTACATACTGAGATACACGTGAACATTATCAGGAGAGGACTCTTTAAAGTAGAGACACTACATACTGATATACACCTGAACATCAGCAGGAGAGGACTCTTTAAAGTAGAGACACTACATACTGATATACACCTGAACATCAGCAGGAGAGGACTCTTTAAAGTAGAGACACTACATACTGATATACACCTGAACATCAGCAGGAGAGGACTCTTTAAAGTAGAGACACTACATACTGATACACACCTGAACATCAGCAGGAGAGGACTCTTTAAAGTAGAGACACTACATACTGATATACATATAATAGCATCAAAGTGAGAGAACAGCAAAACATGTGAGTCCCTCTAGAGGTGGATCGTGAAAAAGGGGCAGACATGTTGGAGAGTTACTGTATTCTGAATACTTACAGTGTGGGCATAATGAAAGTTTTGTAAAGTTCGTATTACTGTTTTTTCTTTAATATAATTCAATGGAGTATTGCTTTTTCTTCAGTACATTTGATTGTTCTGTATTTTACTAAATAAAGTGATCTATTAGCCTTTCAAGAGTGCAGATGTATCTATTTGTGTGGTTTTTCCTAATATGGCTTTCTCTAAACATCAGGTGTGTTCTTAAAGTACACAGTTTCACTAGTGACTCCACTGATCAACAACACTGCCTTTTGTTATCGCTGCATATTCATTTATATATTAAGGTATATTGATATCCACCCCCTGCTGTTATTTATAAAATATATATATTCTATATTACTACATGTACACCACTCTGCACCGTTCTGCTTTTTGCTCTTACCTTGCATCAGAGGGTAAAACCTCCAGAGCTCTGCTGCTGCTGTTAACCACATTCTCACAGAAACACTTCTCCTTCAGTTCTCAGAAGAGAAATAAAGAAGCAGCAGGAGAGGACTCTTTAAAGTAGAGACACTCCATACTGATATACAACTGAACATCAGCAGGAGAGGACTCTTTAAAGTGGAGTCACTAAATACTGATATACACCTGAACATCAGCAGGAGAGGACTCTTTAAAGTAGAGACACTACATACTGATATACACCTGAACATCAGCAGGGGAGGAGTCTTTAAAGTAGAGACACTACATACTGAGATACACGTGAACATTATCAGGAGAGGACTCTTTAAAGTAGAGACACTACATACTGATATACACCTGAACATCAGCAGGAGAGGACTCTTTAAAGTAGAGACACTACATACTGATATACACCTGAACATCAGCAGGAGAGGACTCTTTAAAGTAGAGACACTCCATACTGATATACAACTGAACATCAGCAGGAGAGGACTCTTTAAAGTGGAGTCACTAAATACTGATATACACCTGAACATCAGCAGGAGAGGACTCTTTAAAGTAGAGACACTGCATACTGATATACACCTGAACATCAGCAGGAGAGGACTCTTTAAAGTAGAGACACTACATACTGATACACACCTGAACATCAGCAGGAGAGGACTCTTGAAAGTAGAGACACTACATACTGATATACACCTGAACATCAGCAGGAGAGGACTCTTTAAAGTAGAGACACTACATACTGATATACACCTGAACATCAAAAAGCACTGATGCAGATTAAGCAGAGCCAGCGCAGAGTATCGGACTATGCCATTGAGTTCAGGACCCTTTCAGCAGATAGTGGCTGGAATAGTCTAGCCGAAAGACACAAAGAAAGGTTTAAGAATGTGGCACTACTGCCTCGACACCAAGGGGACACACCAAGCCATCGTCCCGCCTGGAGACATCCTGCTGATGCTCCTCCTGAAAGAAGAGTGCTCCCAAGTGTCTCAGAGGAGCCCATGCAGTTGGGTCGAGCAAAGTTGACTCCTGAGGAACGTCTTCGGCGCATTCAGGAGGGCAGGTGTTTTAGAGGAGAGAGAGGGGAGAGAGGGGAGAGAGGGGAGAGAGGAGAGAGTCGGAGAGATGGGAGAGAGAGGGAGAGATGGGGGAGGGAGGTTCCGAGGAGAGAGGGGGAGAGATTTCTCTTTCGTCGCTCTTTTCTGAGTAGAGAGGTTTCTCTCTTTTTCTTCTTTTCTCTCTTCTTTCTAGGGGATCTTTTTTTGAGAGGGGTTCGTGCTCATGATTCCGCGTTTTCTTTTTTCTCTACGAGATGGGACTAGAGAGGTCCTTATTTTTCTTGTCTTCTTTTCCTCTTGAGCTCTTTTCCTGCTTTTTCTTTTTTTCTTCTTCCTTTTTTCTCTGAGGCTTATCGTTTGAAGGGGAGTACAAAACTGCTCTTGGTGGTGCTCGACCTCAGGCTGCGGAACCTCCTCCCTAAAGGCAGGAGGGATGAAGAGGATGAAGAGGCAGTTGGAGGGATGAAGAGGATGAAGAGGCAGGTGGAGGGATGAAGAGGATGAAGAGGCAGGTGGAGGATGAAGAGGCAGTTGGAGGGATGGGAGGGGTCACCCACAATGCTGAGTGTTCTGCAGGTGAGGCGGGTGCTGTAGGCCCAGGAGAGATGGGAGTGAGGCACCGATGTGTGTGAGTGAGAGAATTGAACTGAGCGTGCAGAGGAGACCCCCCCACACTTAACACTTTATACTCATGAATAAAACCCTGATTAGCGTTTAGGAGTCTGCTTTCTGGAAATGGTATTCATTTACGTTATGACTTTGAAATGTAAACTACTAAGGTTTGAAAATGGAGTGTTTACTTGAACAGGGGATTGTTTTAGTCATACTGTAACTGCCTGGAACAAATACAAATATTCCTGTTCAATTTGATCAATAACCAGCAAATTGTGTCCGTGTTTTCAGCCACCAGGGGGCGCCATTGTCATGATTTAACTATTTAAATGTTAATGTTTCTGGTTTTTAGCCAAATAGTCATAAATGATTGAGACTATTCACAATGTTTGGGGTGCTTCAACACATTTGACCACTTATTTAAATACTTGTTAGGATATATAAAGTTTATATTTTAAATGATAACAGACGTGTTGGTGTTGCTTTTACACATTTGTTGGCACTAACACAAATTGCGTTATGATTTTAAAGGCAATTCTGGAGCAATTTTGACAAAAATATCACAGAATGTATGACTGCAACACACTTTAGTGGTGCTGTTATTAGTTTTATAGTAAAAACAAAATAAACATATCTCTAGGTATTTGTAAAAAAAAAGACTTTATTGATCTGCAATCCAGCATTTAGAGACTTTTATGCACTTTAACACAGTTCAAAGTTACACATTTTGGAGGTGCCTTGTCCACATTTTGGGGGAACTGTAAATGTTTTGTATTATAACAAACATATTTGGGGTTAAAAGAAATTAAATATAAGTAGGATGAATAAATAATAGGAGACCCAAATCACATTTTTAGGATCTATTTCCAATTTGGATCATAACCTTGTGAGATTTCAGATTTTACATTTGATCTCACATTTCTAACTGTATGTATGTCCCTTTCTGTTCAACTCGGTACAGAAGTACTGTTTTAGATTTGGTCATGGTTGACTTTCTTGGGATGATTTTAATTGTCATACATTTGTGTTTCCTCCTAATCAGACCCGGCTGAGGAACTTCTGCTCCGACCCTGAAACCCGGAATGATTCATTACAGGGGGGAAAGTCTGAGTTATGGGGGGTTTAGTTTACCAGACTGTGTCATATTTTCCCTTTGATTCACCAAATGAAAAAGGGGGTAAAAGCCTCAGTCATCCCCCCTCTTCCCAAAAAAGCAGATCTCCTGTCTCCTTGTGGCCGAGACGCACAGAAGCCCTCCATCACCGGAAAGGAATGCAGAGAACTATGTAGAAGTTTCCGAGTCTGTGTGTGTGTGAGTGTGAGAGAGAGTGTGTGTGTGAGTGTGTGTGTGTGTGTGTGTGTGTGTGTGTGTGAGTGTGTGTGTGTGTGTGTGTGTGTGTGAGTGTGAGAGAGTGTGTGTGTGTGAGTGTGTGTGTAAGCACTTTCAGAGGTTGCACATCATTTTTTGTCTCGGCTGCATGTCGTAAGAGCAGCCTTGGGGAGTACCGGATAAAAAAGTCCTGCATTCAAAATGTTACTCAAGTAAAAGTAGAAGTACTCAGATCTTGTACTTGAGTAAAAGTAGAAGTACTCAGATCTTGTACTTGAGTAAAAGTAGAAGTACCAGAGTGTAGGAATACTCTGTTACAGTAAAAGTCCTGCATTCAAAATGTCCCTCAAGTGAAAGTATAAAAGTATTCTCATCAAAATATAGTGAAAGTAGCGACAGTAAAAGTAGTCATTGTGCAGATTGGTCCATTTCAGAATAATATATATGATATGTTTTATAATGATTGATCATGAAAGTGTTCTCAAAGCTGGTAAAGGTGCAGCTAGTTTGAATGACTTTGTATACTGCAGGGTAGCTTGTGGATTTACTCCAAGTGGAACTAAAGTCTGATTTAACACTTGATTATATTTCACATCATTCATCCACATCTGTAAAGTAACTAAAGGTATTAAATACATGTAGTGGAGTAACAGTGCACCATGTACCTCTGAACTGTAGTGGAGTAGAAGTACAAGTAGCTCAAAATTGTACTTAAGTACTTAAAAACTACTTAGTTACTTCCCGCATGTTTAAAGTAACCCCCCCAACGCTGCGTAACAGCGCTGGGAGGGTAACTCTAAGGAGGGTTACTCCCCCCTGTTAAGTACCAGATTGAGTGCAGATTCGTTCCATTTGGAAAGAGGCTCGCCGACACGTCTGGGAACCAAGAAGCTCTCCGGATCATTTCTCTCTCCTCAGGCTGAGGGTCTGCAACAGAGAGATTACTACCTTTTTAATTTTTAATTTCGTTAAACCAACCCAGAGAGATTCTACAGTCTTCTCCATAGGTCAGTCCTGCAATATCTTTACGTTTTTCTTCCCAGTTGAATTATTTTGGTGCTTTTTAAGACGCATACATGACGTATTTCTTGCAGCTTTAAGGTGGTTTTAGTCCTCAATTTTACTAGTTTTTAATATTCCAGTTACCATCCAGTTTAATTTGGAGTATTTCGAGGAACGCGTGGACTATTCCTTGAAATCGCGGTGCGTAATTGCGCACGGAGCGAGGATTTGACGCTCGGTTTTTCTGAACTTTTGAAAGACTTTCTCTCCGGTAGAGTGGGTTTATTTATCAGCAGGGATATGAGAGACTTCATTGGAGGATTTGCATCAGAATCCAGGCAGGCTGATTTAGGAGGGAAACACGGAGACTTAACACAGGAAGAGAAGAGACAGTCAGATGTGCGCCTTTATTCTAACAGGTTATCCATTAAAACTGCTTTGTTGGTTGTTTAACGTTTTGAAATTGTGGATTTTTGGACATTAATATAAAGTCTATCTTGTAAAAAACATTTAGTGTCTCTGGGGAACAGTTGTTAGGAGCCCAAGGATCATGGAAATCTGATTTTTTTTATATATTCCTCCGTTTTTTGTGTGGATTTTTAAGCATCTGATTGCTGGTAGATTTCCACGAGGCAGGTGTTGGAGGTTCCTGGTTCACATTCAGGTTGCTCAAAGGTGTTCTGGAGCCTCGGGCTGATTTGTTGAAGGTGTAACCGCCTCTCTTCGTTCCTCCTCAGCCTCCTTCATGAGCTGCTGAGCCGGAGGAAGAAGATGAAGATGAAGATGTTTCTGGCGGCGGCTGCCCTCCTGGCACTGCTGCTGTCCTCCTCTCACGCCCAGGATACAGGTAAAGCTGCTCTTCCTCCTCCTCTTCATCATCCTCGCTGTGACCCAACACCTCTCTCTTCACCTCCTCTCACCTCTGCCTTTCCTCTGCAATGATGCATATTTAGTCTGAATAAAAGAATCACACAGAGAAAGAGAATGTGTGGATTGATTTGTTTTATCTTTTCAGCTTCAGTTTAACCTTTTGATTAATGTTTTTCCCCCAAGTTTCCATCAGGAATTCACAAGATTTCTACTTGCAGAGAAATAGCTTCAAATATCTGGGTTGAATTTATGGATTGGAGTTCATTTGGTCAAACTAGTAGCGCTTCAGAAGTGTTTTAAGCCATGAGAGAGTTACAAGATGGTGAGAAAGCTACCGTTATGAGGGAACATTGTTATACTGTTAAAAAAGCTAACCTATTTTGCCTTTCTCCCCTAAAAGAACAACTTCAAGCTTCTAAAATGCCATTTATTCACATTTACCCATCTTAAAAGACCGTAATCTATCTGAAAAACTATCGTAAAGTAAAAAAAAAAAGTGTTTGAACCTTTACTGCATCCCATGTGAGGCGGTAGAGCTGAAACTAATGGGTTCAATGGGACATCTTTTCATCCTCACACAGATGTAGTTCCGTCTGTTTTACACCAGGAGGGGCCCTTGCTTATAATCAAATATTTACTACTGAAGCAGACATTTCTCTATAGTTTCCAAAAAAAGGAAAAGCCCAGACGGCACGTGGCCAAGTTTCCTCCCCACGTCCTTTCTCCTGATGGAACGGAAAGACTAAATATGAGTTTCACATGATTTTCCAGAGGTTAGAAGAGGAGAGAATCTGCTCCCATGTGCCTCTGGAGTTTCTCCTAAGTGCAGTAAAAACCCATCAAGGAGGAGAATATTTCTCTCTTCTGCTTCCAGGAGAGTTTCCGACCTCCTGTGACCCCCATTATTGTCTCAACGGGGCCCCTTTCAAAGTAAAGGCATCATAATGGGGTCATATACATTATAGCGTGTGGAATACTTAGACTTGTTGAGGCTGGAAAAAAGAATTATCCCCCAAAAGGAAGTCCTCTGCTTTAAGGACTGTCACATTTCAGGTGAAATATTGCAAAATAAAAGCAGCCTCGGAGGTCGAAAGCTTCAAAGAAAAGCTCAGAATGTAAGAAAGTGTGTGTTCAAGTGTGTGTGTCCATGTGTGTGTAAGTGCTGGAGTTTCTTTGGGTAGTTTTTGTCCATTTGGAAACAGAAGCAGCAGCCCCCGCGGCCCTTGCATTGATTCACCAGGTTGGTGGTTCCTCCATTTCTGACGTCCTGTCCCTTCCCCCTCTTCACGGTCAAGCCTTGACCTCGAGTCTCGGCTTCACAATATTTTACAATGATATTCTTCACTCCAATACTAACAGATGAACTGGTTGGCGGTCTAGGAAAAAAACACTCTAGCTAAATATTGTGTCGTTTATTTACTTGTTTCCCTAATTTGCATCGTGTGTTTCTGCAGAACTTTCACAAAATGAGCACAAACTCTGGAGCTCAGATTACCGTTAGATGAACTTCCCTTCAGCATGAACAAATTAAGAGTTAGACTCGCTGTTTACACCTTTTAGAAACTGCTTTTCAGTTTAGGCAAGCGTTTTCAAGATAATAGTCTCTAAAAATGGGGGAAAATATACAGGGCTGGAAAAACTGTGGATTGTCACATTGAGTATCAATACTGCAATACCAAATCTTGTTTTGAGTATTGATACTAGCATCAGTTGGATAAATGGCGATAAGAGAAGTGTTTTACGGTATCTGTTTCAAAGAACTTGGTAGCTATTCAAGTGTAGATAAATAAGAAAGAGTAAGAAAATGTCAAAATAGTATATCTTAAATGATAAGGTTATTAACAGATCAGTAGAAAAAAGCTTGAAAGATATCTGGAGTAGTTTATTTACATTACATCCTACCATAAATCAAGATTCATCTTTTCTTGCTCATAACGCTTTCGGTTAGTTGTGTAACCCCGGTTCTACCGATGATTTGCGTCTAAAAGCATTCATCTCTGGACGTTAGCTAAACTTACAGCTACTTTTATTTTCTTTATTAAAAATTGGTGCATTATAGCAAGCTAGATTTTCAGATAGGCGACTTTTTACTCGTGTTAGATTTTAGATTTTGTTTGAAAACCCCAACCTGAAGAAAATCATTTTAAAATATTCTCTAAATAATACCCTGTCGTCCCTCGTGTACATGGAATCTGTTTGTCCGTTGCCCCAAGTTGTTGTTAACAACTTTTCATGTACACGTGATGCATGATATCCTCCGTGTCCAAAAATCAGAGGTTCTTAAATGATTAAAGTCCAGATCCTGAAAGGAAACAAATTCATTTAAAAATCTGGGATCTGGAGCTGAAGTAGTTTAAGAACCTTTGGTGCAGTTTGTTTGGGAAAAGAAAAAAGATGTACACGCGTCTTTATTGACGTTGTGTATTCTTTTATGAGGTTTGCAATGGAGACGATGAGAGAAACTTTTCCCCATTGTATAATCAATATTTGAGAGTTTCATCAGATGTGTGTTTTTGTCAATTCAACATCTTGAGTTGGATTGAGGTCATGGACGGTCTGCAGGATGTCAGCCGGTCCATGTTGTCGTTACTTGGCCGGAAGCAAAACTTTTCATTATTTACGAAGAAGCTGGTGAATTAAAAAACACATATATTGTTGGTATCTATCTGTAAAATTATCTGAATGGAAGCAAAGAAAGGTCATGATAGTTTAAATGTTTGTTTTCCAGACACAACTTTTAAGTTTTAAACCATCAAACATTTTATACATTTATGGGATCAAGAAACATAGATTGTCCAATATTTTAACAAACATCACTATGATCATTTTTGGATCTCAAAAGTGTAGTTAAGCCAAAAATACAAATCATTGTAAGAAACAAACAATGCCTTTAAGTCAAGATTGCTTCTTGTTTGTAAACTGGATTCATTTTTTTGTCACAATTTCTAACAATAATCCAATCTAAGCAACTTAACTTGAATATTCAGGTCTGGAAATAAACCACTTCTTACTAAGCATATTGGAAACCATTGCATTTTAGATTTTAGACACTTAATTATTATCTTTCTTGAAATTGGCCTTTTTTCAGCTTCCGTAGACTTTGTCAGCCAAACTTCACCAGAGTCTGAGTCTTCCCGCCATGTTTGTGTTTCTTAGTGAATGTTCTCAACAGTAGATGGTAATGTGTGTTGTTGTGTCTTTTTGCTTGAGTTGTTGATGGCTGCCGGCCACACAAACTCAAACGGAGGTCATTTTTGTGTGAGTCCAAAATGGCTTCCCTAACATCTGTAGTTTAGTTTGTCTCTGTGTTGTTTGTGCCAACAGTGAACTTTTCAAACTTCATCCTGGAAGTGTTGACTGTTGGGGAAATCCTTGTATTCTTCACATTACAATACATCCACCGCCTGAAGCTGCTGGATTAACTCTGTTTACTTTTTCTCTTCACAGTGAACCCTCCGTCAGACTTGAGGTTTAGGATTTTGAATGAGAAAACAGTGCAAATGATTTGGAGTAAACCACAGTCGAGGATACAGGGCTACAGAATACAAGTGACCTCAGACACAGGTGGGTGCTCATTAAACCCGTGAGTTATGTCCTGCCCAGCCCACAACATTACAAGTGCCATAAACTTTCTTAGACATCAGTCTGCCCGGCAAGACTCGACACTCCCCGCAATTATCTGAAGATTTCTGCACACACATGTTTCCCTCCAGGACATCTCTAATGATTTAAAAAAAAGGTAAAACATTATCTCTGCAATGGAAAGTTGTCAGCATTAGTTTAACTCAGGAGTGTAGCTGTCACGTCAGTCAGAGTTAATTAAACAGGGAGATGATCTTTGAACAGCTTACAGTCATATCAGATCTGCCCTTCAATCAGCATGAGTTTAAATAAGGTGAACATCTAAATACCACAGAGTACAAAAATACTTCAGACAATTAGTTTAGGCATCTAACCTGCAGCAGGTTTGGAAAGGCATTCTCTTTCAACATGACAATGCTCCCATGTAGAAGCAAAGGCTCCTGCTTTAAAAAGCTGTTGGTAAGTTCAAACTTAGGCAAGCTCTAAGGACTTATACCAACACAGTCTCTCTGCGTTTCGTGTTATGGTCACGATTTCACAATTGTTTTCGTGTCACACAGAACGATTTTAAAAGCAATGTAAATAATAACAAATTAGAAGGAAAAAAAGATGATATAAAATACAGATGTCAGTATTTTGAGGCTCTGAGCCATTTCTTTTCCTCACTGACGGCAAAAAAACTCAGACATTATACAATTTAAAATAAAAGGGATAGGGTTAGGCTTAGGGTAAGATATTGAGTAAGAAAATGTTTTTATGAACCACACAGCTTCTGGTCTTCCAAGACCCGACCGGACAAAAAGACGTGGTGCAGGCACGAAACACACTACCAATAGAAATACATTGCTTTTAAAGTCGTTCTGTGTGACACGAAAAAAATGCGAAAATCGTGTTGGTGAACACGAATCAATAGATTAAATGTCGTGACTATAACACGAAATGCCGTGAGACTGGGTTGCTTATACATGTTTATTAAATGGAGCTTTACACGTCAGACAAACTCTGACATGAAAATGATTTGCCACTAAATATATAACCTTCTCCTAGTAACTGTTGGTGTAATTGTTACCTGCTGTTAGCCAACTAAACTAGCTAACTGTCAGAACGTTAGCTTTAATATGTAACTTAATATACATTTAAATACATTCAATAACTCCTGGGTGAAGCATCAGTTTTATGGATTGTTAACCAACATATCTAACATCAACTTTCTTTCTGTTATGTTATGTTAGCTAACTTAATTAGCTTACTAACAGAGCTAACGGTAGCTTGAATATTGACATTCAATAAAGGTCAGATTACAGACTGTCGGCAAATTTAACAATTTAAGACATTTATAAAATTGTAAGTATATAAATGTTAGCTTGGATATTAATATTTAATGTCCGATGTACCTGTAACTTAACTATCTAACTGACAAAACTACTGATTTAAGCTGAAATATTAACATTTAAAACGTCCATGTATCCGTTTAGCCTAAAATTCAGTAACATTCAACGTTTTAGCTGACTGACAAATCACACACTAGCTTTTAAGAAACTGCTAATTGTAATGGCTAGTTACTTTTAGCTTACTACATAGCTTACTAAAACTAAACTGACAGATCTGACATTAGCTTGTATATTGTCATTCGAAAACGGTTGTGGTGTGTACTGTAAGCTAACTAAACAAGCTAAGTAATATAACTAACATTAGCTTCAATTCGATAACTGCTAGGTGTAACCGTTACGTGCTGTTTCACACTTTTAAGGTTTTTTAGGAGACACATAGTCTATGCTTGTAAAAGTAATATAGTGTATTTCAATAAAAAATAATTTAGGTTAACATTAAGTGAGGGTTTAGGTAGTTGTTTTAATTCATTTTGTCGAAAGTTAATGGGTTTTAACACAGTAATAATCCTGTACAATAGGCATTCAACATGTCTTTACTAGAAAAGTAAGCATATCAACTCATAAAACAGGCCTAGGCTTCACTCAATAGAACAATTGGGTATTTAAGAGTTAAAATGACGTGTTTTGATTCAGTCATTGAGTAATGCGGAAAGATTTCATTAAATTGAATCTTTTGTTGTGTGTTTACACAACTCTTTCTTGTCCTCAGGTCAACAGTTTAAATCAGGTTTTATGTAACCCTGACTCTTGGAGAAATTAAGTAATGCAATAGTTTTCCTAATGGATTCCCTCTGACTTTGTGCATTTTTGTAGAAGAACCAATGAGAGAATTTAGTCTGCCTGCATCTGCGTCTAAGACCTCCATCTCAGACCTGAGTCCAGATGTGGATTATACCGTAACGATATTGGCGTACGCTGGATCAGAGGAGAGTCTGCCCATCTCCGGCCAAATTACACGTGAGTCAACGAGTGTGTGAGGGTGTGTGTGAGTGTGTGTGTGTGTGCGTGTTGTGTGTGTGTGTGTGTGTGTGTGTGTGTGTGTGTGTGTGTGTGTGTGTGTGTGTGTGTGTGTGTGTGTGTGTGTGTGTGTGTGTGTGTGTGTGTGTGTGTGTGTGTGTGTGTGTGTGTGTGTGTGGTTAAAGTAGCTCCAGACTTTCAACCAAATGCCTGGAAAATGTGTCAGCAGCTGGTCTGTTTTAGCAGCAAGTCACAATGACCTGGTTCACCAAGCTGACTGGTAGAACTCCCAATACACTGAGTGGACAGATTAACATGAACAGTGCTTTTTACAGAAACCCTGAAAGGCAAATGCAAAAAAAACGTTTTTGGTGATGCATTTTCTTAATCTGATCTAGTCCGTGTTTATACATTTCAAATAGTTTTGCAACGATAGTCTTTCTAAGGATTTATTAAGATCCCCTCCACCTTAAAAATGTGTGGCTGAAAGTGACCAAAAACCTGCCAAAACACTCAAAATATTCCAGATGTGTTGCATTACCTTTCTGAAACTGTTTAGAGACACAACAAATCCCTATAACTTAATTTAAGCGGCTCAATCCAGTCAAATAAAACATTCAAATGTCATTATACATAATTAATATGTGGTATATTTGTTTACCAAGACGTACGCCAGGTAAAAACTCCTAAATAGACTGACATAGTTTCAACAACCGCAAGTGAATTCTTGGATGACATTTTAAAGACTAAATATGATTAGTAGCTTGTTAGAAAAATAGATTTATTGTCTTCAATGTGGGAAAATTATTTGGCTTCCATCAGGAATTAAAAAGACAATAAAACATCTGGAAACAGACATGAGGAGCAAGCAAAAAAAAAACGTTATAAAATACAGATGTGATTTGGTGCACTAGTTAGATCACTGATTCCCAACATGTGAGTTCTCAAGATAACCATGATAGGTCACAAGGTAAGTGAAAATGTATGAACACAATTATATGCTTTATTTTTGTAAAAAAATCCCTTTCTTTCGTTGATTGAACTGGTTCCAACTCAAGAGGAGGCATGTGGCGCAGTGCATAGAGCCTTGCTGTTGGGATCAGGGGGTCACAGGTTCAAACCCCACTGCAGTCGTTGTGTCCCTGAGACACTTCACCCCAAATTGCTCCTGTGGGGATTGTCCACAGTATTGAGTATGTAAGTCGCTTTGGATAAAAGCATCTAACAAGTGACATGTAATAGTAATGTCCAAACACAGGTCTATACTAAAGGGTAATAGAGGCAAATCAGATGGGATGTAAGCAGTGAAAAGACCCAAAAGTCCCGTTAAAGTCTCTTTTGACATTACGTAATGATGAGTGAATGATCCAGATTTTCAGCTGCGAGTGAGATCTTCATTTATTTCATGGCAGCAGTTCGGAGTGGACGCCTTTTTGGCATCGCAGCACTCACTGATGAGCCGAGCAACCCTCCGAGCACGGAGATTCCCTGAAAATCTGTCGGAAACGATGACATCAATTTAGTTTGTTTTGCCATTTGGGAGCTCGTGTTGCACGTTCGATGGATCTGTGGGGACAAAATGTTGCGTAAGAAACCCTCAGAGGAGAGAAAAATAATCTCTTGAATGGAAAAACATTGAAGAGATGTTGATAGATAGATAAAGGGTTTCTTATTTCTGTAATTACATGATTGTGTTTTTGTGTTTCAGTGGAGTCAACTGGAGGGACTTCCAGAAAACCAGACGCTTCAGATTCAGTCAGTAAGTCCTTTTGTTCCTTTAATTTGACGTGTGGGTTTCACTCACATCGCTAAGATAATGAGTCACAAACGTTCGACTTTTCCACATATTGTTCTCGAACGTTCTTTTCCTCGTTGCTGGTCTGCGTCCATCATCGTGAGCTCAGAATCTAAAGGAGTTCTCTTTCAACACAACCCCCCATTGTATAGCGAGAATCAAAATTAGAAGCCCATAAATCTCTAAAGTATTCGGTCATGGTGTTGGTCCTCTGCTGGGAGAAGTGGAAACCATTACAGAGGCTGATTTACAAGAGAACTGCTACTGCCCCGCACATGATGACAAGCTTTTGCTGGTTTTTCACTAGGGGAAAGAAACTCCCAGAAAGAAGAGAGAGAGAGTCCTGTACCTAAAGCGGTACATTTAGATTCAACTTCAGAAGAACAATGTGCTTTACAAAAACACTCAAACACTCATCTTGTGCTTCTATATAATAACTCCTACTGTACGTCAATTTTAAGGAGCTAAGTTTAATCAAAGTCTGTATCAAATGCTGTCAAATTGACCACATGCCTAATAAAACATAACTCTAAACCTTCATATGATTTAAACCGATGAGATATATGAACCCCCTGTATCATTGGCATTTAAGGGGACATGTGATATAGTGATCCAAACCGTTCGTTGTAATGGGCTGTGAAGATGTTTAATTCTGTGATTAGTTTCAGCATTTTAATATTGAGCACTATGGGGATTGATTAGCCGTTGGAGAAAGCCTCAAGTGGCCATTTGAGGAACTGCAGTTTTTGGCACTTCCCCATTTCCTTCCTTTTTAACCCTGGAGGTTTTTCCGCTTGGCTTTAACACTACTTTTGATATGACCAGAGCTCAATTATGCAAATCCCTTTGGTGTTGTGATAACATTGTTAGTGTGAAGATCAGGTTAAGAACTACAGGTGTAAAGGAACGTTGTCATCATAATAGAAACAAGTATTTTGTAAGATTAGATAAGATAAGAAGTACTTTATTGATCCCAATTTGGGAAATGTGTGCGTTGCAGCGGCATAAAAAGACAAGGCATTGTACAATACAATTAAAAGAGTAGAAATAAACAATCCAAAATGTAAACATCTCAAATAGAAATCAAATAGCATTAAAAGAGTAAAAAATATACATGTTGTAATACAAAGTAAACAAAAGCAAATTTGACCAAAATTGCAACATGACGGTCTTTTTGGGGCATTAGGACGTTAAGGGTTCTGTATTTTCTGACACATTTATTTAAGATTGAACATTAACACTGTAAAAACTCGAAATCTAGCCAAGTATATTTGCCTAATATCTAGTCAGAATATGTCTTAACACTTGATATAAGACATTATAACTTAAGAAGTAACAACGCAGGGAGATATAGGGTCTTGTTTTTAGACAATGCATCTTAAGTATCTGTTTAAGACTTTTTGAAAGCATCTTATTTTTAGTTGGATCTCAGATTAAAGAAGATTTTCAAGCTCATGTGGTATTTGTAAAAGATGGATCATCTAGTTTGAAGAAATGAATCTTACTTGATTTTGGAAAACATTTTTGAAGGACAATCACCAAGTAATTTCAGAAAATAGAGCAATCTTTAGCATTTCTGACTTATTTCCATTCATGATGCTGGTAAAATAGTTCAAAAATATATTCCCCAACTAATTACAACATCTCAAGTATCTAAATATCCCATATTATTCAAATAAATCTTATCAAGCAAATGTTTACTTGTTCTATTGGCAGATTTTTCAACTTATAACAAGTGAAAACACCTTGATTTTATTATTGTTTTACTTGATTTTGAGCAGCATTTTTTCCAGTGAAATAGCTAAAGTAATCAAAAACCAGAACAACAGCGATGAAATTGACATCTCTCTGGATCATTGCGAACTTTAAACATTTATCCTTAAGTGGCTTGAAATATAAATTGTGAAATGTCCTTAATAATAAGTAATTTAACCTTATTCCTTCTTCTCTTGATATTTATTATCCTCTCCCCCCTCACTTTATTTCCCAGAATGCTCTGTGAGTGCCATCGCTGACGTGGTTTTCTTGGTTGACGGATCCTGGAGTGTCGGCCGGCCGAACTTCAAATTCATCCAAAAGTTTATCTCCGTGGCGGCCGGAGCGTTTCAGATCGGAGCGGAGCGGACGCGGGTCGGCGTGGTCCAGTTCAGCTCCGGATCCAGAACTGAGTTCAACCTGAAGACACATCTGACCCGACCGACGCTGCTGAGGGCCATCGCAGCGCTGGAGTACAAGGGAGGGAACACCAGGACAGGTACAGGATCTCTTCAAATCAACAGAGAGGGCAAAAGTACACACATCCTTTACTCAAGTAGAAGTACAGATACTCGTGTTTAAAAATACTAGTAGAAGTACTGACTAAACTTCTTTACTCAAGTCAAAGTAAAGAGGGCTTTGAAATGTACTTCAGTAAAAAGTACCCATAACTAGCAGCTGTTTTAAAGAGTACCTGAACTCCCTTTATATTAATAGAACAATAATGTCATTGTTAGCTAATGAATGTTTCCATGCTGAACAACGGCAACATGACAACGTTTTCATTGGTCCCTCTTCTTTAGAGAAGACCAGGAAATGATGGATACACGGATCGTGTTCAAATCAATAGGCACGCAATGACTCTAAATAATAATGATCACGCCACCAAACACACATTCAAACTAAAGGAACCAGCCTGTTTGGAAAATGTAAGAAGTAGAAAGTACAGGTATTTGTGTTCAACATGTAAGAAGTAGAAAGTACAGGTATTTGTGTTCAAAATGTAAGAAGTAGAAAGTACAGGTATTTGGGTTCACCATGTAAGAAGTAGAAAGTACAGGTATTTGTGTTCAACATGTAAGAAGTAGAAAGTACAGGTGTTTGGGTTCACCATGTAAGAAGTAGAAAGTACAGGTATTTGGGTTCAACATGTAAGAAGTAGAAAGTACAGGTATTTGTGTTCAAAATGTAAGAAGTAGAAAGTACAGGTATTTGTGTTCAAAGTGTAAGAAGTAGAAAGTACAGGTATTTGTGTTCAAAATGTAAGAAGTAGAAAGTACAGGTATTTGTGTTCAAAATGTAAGAAGTAGAAAGTACAGGTATTTGTGTTCAAAATGTAAGAAGTAGAAAGTACAGGTATTTGTGTTCAACATGTAAGAAGTCAAAGTAAAAAGTCGTCAGAAAAATAAGTAGTGGAGTAAAGTACTGATACCAGAAACATGTACTTAAATAAAGTAACAAAGTATTTGTACTCCACTACTTCCCACCTCTGCAGACCATTGTTTTCTGTGCATCATTTTAAAACCTAACCCCTTCCTGTGTTCCTGCTCCAGGCGATGCCCTCGACTACCTCCTGAAGAACTCTTTCTCTGAGGCGTCTGGTGCCAGGAAGGCTTTTCCCAAAGTGTTGGTGATCATAACGGACGGCAAATCTGAGGATCCCGTGGAGAACTTCGCCCGGGAGCTGAGGAGCAGAGGGGTGGAGATCTTTGTCCTCGGTACGCAGCCAGAAACACCTTTATTACATTCCACATCTTACATTTTCCACTCGTTATTTAATGCTTTTAACCCTGTAACAAAAGCAGCTCAGGGTGACGTAACAAGAGGAGAAATGCCTACATCATTAAACGCTACGAACGAGTGATAGCAGGTTTTATGTGTGTTTACACGCGAGCTCAGACTTTCCACTAACTGAGGGACGGAGGAACAGAAGTGGGCTGTTGCTAAGCTGTTAAAGAGGGATGGTGGTCAAAGAGATGAGAGATTATCTTCTACGGTCTGAGGACATACTGAAACATACATCAGTAACGGGCCGTCTCCACGGCAGCGTTAAAAAATCTTGAAACGCTTCTGCCCATTCACTTTGAATGGGGTGACGTCACTTTTTTTCGCTTTCGCCGAAATGCATTGTGGGCAGGCGAGCGGAGATTCTCAGGATTTTCAAGATCCAAAGTTGAACAATGTTCAACTTTTGAGGCTGAGGTGGAAGCGTCAGCCAATCAAATCCCGTGTACGCAAATCTGACAGTTCAAGCTCTAGCCAATCAAACGGCGTGTATGCTGGGAGAGAAATACCGCAGGTCATTTCCTCATATTCCAAAAAATGGAGGAGAAATTAGCGGTAGCGAATCAATCACCCGGTGCTTTATGACCAGACCTACCGGGATATAAACCGGAGGAGCCAGGCATGGAGGGAGGTGGCAGAGACAGTGGTAGGTTTTCGCCTGTTTTGGGGAGTTTATATCCAGTTTACTTCGGGCTTTTTTGCTTCGTATGTCGCGGGCGGGAGATTCATGTGATTGGTTGCTCGCAAAAAATCCTCAAGCTTCAGATACGCCCACCTCCAAGATTTTTTTAACGCTGCCGTGGAGACGGCCCGTAACACTGTAGATGTCTCCTAATATAAATATAACATGGATCCAATCAGCATGGACATCAGGTTTAGGAAGATTTCTCAAATGCCCAAAACAGTAGCTTTATTTTGACTTCATTCACCGTCTTTTGAGTTGTGATATTTCTGCAGACAATTCTTTCTTTACTTAGACGTCACGTCACTTTGTCAGAGAACCTGATATAATGTTTGGATATACTTTTAAAAACATTATATATCAGACTTTATCTTGGCAACAACTTGATACTGTCAGATATATATGGTGAAGAAAGGAGGAAACAGGGAAAGAGAGAAAGAAGGAGAGGAATGTAGAAAGAACAATATCAGCATTATTTGGTAGGAGTAGTAGAGCAGATCTCTAAGTGCATCTTCGTGTAACCCGTCGAAAAATATACAAAAATAAAGATTATCTCCTTCTGCAAAATTTGAAACTCTCCAAAAATGGACCTAATCAAGTATAAAATCACACTTAATTACAGTATTTGAGTTAAAGTACCTTTCCAATTTAGTCGTTTAACAAGTCCTCATCGAGTGTATGAACTACATTCAGTAAAGGCTCACAGCTTTACTAAAAGTCTACTAGGATATAGGATTGTAAAAAGCCCAAATGGTTTCATATTTCCTACCCGTCATATATGATGAAGAAAGTAAGGAAACAGGGAAAGAGAAAGAAAGAAGGAGAGGAATGAAAAGGTAGAAAGAACATATCAGCATTATTTGGTAGGAGTAGTAGAGCAGATCTCTAAGTAAGATTATCTCCCTCTGCAAAGTTAGAAAACGCTCCAAAAATGTATCTAATCAAAAGAAATCACACTTAATTGCAGTATTTGAGTTAAAATACCTTTCCAATTTAGTCGTTTAAAAAGTCCTCATCGAGTGTATGAACTACATTCATAAAGTCTTCGAGGATATAGGATTGTAAAAAGCCCAAATGGTTTCATATTTACTTCCCATGCTGTCACACTTTCCAGCGAGAGTAGAATAAAACAGCGGAGGCTTTCGATTGGTTGTGAATCCAGCTGGAGAACTTTTAATAGGTTTTTATAGATTTCACCCAGTATTTACAGACCTGGAGAGAATCCACTCTTATTGACGCAATAATCCTCTCATGATGCCAGTGACTTTATAACTTTATGCTTTGAACTAGTGTTGCCTTTAAGATAGGAAAGGTCAACAAAAAAAAAAAGAATCAGAAACAAGTTTATTGCCAGGTAAGCACCTTGAGATGACGTTGTCTTTAAAGTGTGCTATATAAATCAAATGTATTATTATTATTATTAGGATAACACATACGAGGAATTTGACTTGGTGTTGTGGTGCATACATTAAAATAAAACAACGAAATTGTCGGAGGAAAATCTCGGACTAGGCTCGTTGAAAAAGTCCGGACCTCCCTCTAAACATTATAACTTATGAACTTTCTTCGTGATAGACAGAGTTTGGTGCAATAGAACTTTTATTACGTCAAAAGACATAAATCAAATAGAGAGCAGACCCCGGGATCGTACTGTTGAACAAACGTTGTACTCGTACCTTTATAGCGAGCCTTCTCGTCCCTTATTGGTTGACCTTGGTGAAGGACGACAAACCACCTCCCAGTTTCTTTGTCAGCAACTTTTTCTGCCGACGTTTGCATTTACCTAAACTTCCGCACACGTGACCGTAACTCTTTCAGCAGACGTTTGCATTTATTTATACTTCCGTACACGTGCCCTGGAGGCGTTCCGTCACATTGACCGCTTCTTGACCTTCAGCAAAGTTCACTATCAAGTGAGGGGGAGTTTTACCACTGGTCTCTTTCCCAGTTGTAACCTCACATCTTATTAGCTTCAGGCAATGTGAATAATAATTAACCTTAACCTAAAAGTGGCCTTTTCGTTCAACCTGACACACACATACACACACACACACACACACATGCTCAGAGCAGAGTCCGCTACTCTTCTCCACATGAAGTTACACACTCATTCAGATGGAAACACTGTTCTGACAGTTTACACACCCTAACATTACACTGTTATTATACTGTATTATACCAAGCATTATAGCACTATACTGAACACTCATCATTCCCCATTATGTTCTAATAATGAGTATTTCTTCAAGAAAAGTTCTACTACAACATTATATGAAAAACACAGATAGAAAAGTATTTGAAGAAACTATAATAACATTAAAATATATAAATAATTAAATATATAAAATATATATTGCAGTATTTACATTGAAATAGAATTGGAGTAATAATTATAATAATAAATAATAATTGGAATGTCCCTAATTTTAGCAGACTGTGACAATCTGAGTGGTTGCAATGGAACAATTTCCCTGTTTTTCAGACACTAAAATCTCTCTTTTTTCAGGCATCCAGCAGGCAAACGAGGAACAGATGAAGCTCATGGCCTCCGAGCCTCACACAAGTCACATCTTTAGCGTCGCTGACTTCAACTTAATCAAGAGTGTGCAGAACAAACTCGTCTCTCAGGTGTGCGCTGGCGTCGACGATCAACTCAACTCACTCGTCAGCGGAGAAGAAGGTGAGATGTGGTGAAGAAATGTGAAATAAGTGGAGTAAATAATGCGTTACAAGTTTCTGTCTTCTGTTGTCCTTTTGTACATTATCTAAAAAAGTAGATTTATTGTCACTAGTTAGATGAAGAGATTGATACCTATCTAATGTTTGTACGCTAAAATTACATTACAGCTAGCAGGTAGCATAGCTTAGCATAAAGACTGAAAATGGGGAAACAGTAATTCTACATCAGTCCAAACGTAACAAAACCCCTCTACCAGCACCTCTAACTTATTCTTATTCTTGTTTTATGTAGTTATTTCAACCCATAAATCTTTGGACAGAGCCAGGCGAACTGTTTCCACCTGTTTCCAGTCTTTATGCTAAGCTAAGCTAACTATCCGCTGGCCCCAATTGCATATTTACAAGATGTATCAAGCTCCTCATGTAACTCTTGCAATGTTTTTGAGATATATCACTACTCCTTATTGATATATTAAATGTCATCCACAATACGACATTTCCGTTTTGGTATATTTTTGTGTTTTGCCTTATAAATTATAATTTTGTACCCTAAACCAAGTTTTACACATCCCAGAAATCAGCTCAACCTCAGGTAATCTTATATGTCACTCATTAAAGACTTCAATACACAAAAATAGGGGAAATTTGCCCATAAAGAAAACTAAAAACTGAGTTTGAAGTTTTTACTTATTTAATTAAAACAGAACTTCTAACCATAATAAAATAAAAACGATAAGCAATGCGCCAGGATAAAGGTAAAACTATATGCATTATTTCCAAAACTTTACCCATTCGCTTAACCAACGCTAGTAAACGGCTCACAATGACAAACTTGATGACTTGTTTAGCGCTGTTTCTCTAGTTTACAGGAAACAAACGTCATGTCTCTAGCTCATACTGCTGAGAAGTTATGATGCTTTGAAGACGGCGTGATATTTGGATCTTATACGGCCCGTGGGTCTCAGAGGGTTAAGATACTCCTGCTATAAACCAACACCATAGATAATATGTGTACATTGTTTGCATAATGAGATTGATATACTTCTATAATTCCTATTCTTTGGCAGTTGTTGAGCCAGCCTCCAAGTCCTGGAGGTATCAAGCTCCTCATGTAACTCTTGCCATATTTTTTAGATATATAACTACTCCTTATTCATGTACTATATGTCATCATAATCTGTTTTATAGCTGATTTTCGTGGTGTTTTTTAAGCAAACAACAATGTTTTTGCCAAATGATCAAGCACTTAAGATTCTCCTGCTATACAGCAACACCATAGATAATATGTGTACATTTAATGCATAATGAGATTGATATATTTCTATAATTCCTATTTTTTTGCAGTTGTTGAGCCAGCGTCCAATCTCCAAATCTTGGAAGTCGCCTCAAAGTCGTTGCGGTTGATGTGGGACGCCTCCATTGGAGAGGTTTCGGGATACAAGGTTCAGATGATCCCGATGATGGCTGGAAGCAAACGGCAGGAGCTCTACGTTGGTCCGACGAAGACCCAGGTGGTGGTCAGAGATCTTTCCCCAGACACAGAGTACCAGATCAGTCTGTTCGCTTTGAACGGCCTGATGCCCAGCGAGCCTCTGACCCTCATGCAGAAAACACAACTCGTTAAAGTGTCACTGGGTGAGTACGAAATAGTGGAGGTACAATCTCCAAACTGGCCTTTTATTGCATTTTCTGACACAATGGAGGTTTGTCCTTTACACCGGACACTAAGAAGGTCTTCAAAGTTCAAGAAAATACTTTATCGTTTTATTTTAAAGGACGACGGTATGGTTAACTCAATTGCATGCTTATACTTGGCATGCTTGCAATGTTTAATCTGTGAAACAAGCTTGTTTTGCATGAACACAAATATTTGTATGTGTTCTCATTGAATCTAGTCAATGACAACCTTTAACAATATTCTAGGTATCATTGAGCCTATCAGTTGCTTCTCTAAAACACCCCGAGGAAAGGTCTTATAACACAAGCTTTAGACAGATTTGAATGTGTTCTCTTTGAAGCCAATCAATTACAACCTTGTCTTGTGTCTTTCTGATCTCAGAGTGTTCTCTTGGCGTTGATGTCCAAGCCGATGTGGTCCTCCTCGTCGACGGTTCCTACAGCATCGGTCTGGCTAACTTCGCCAAAATGAGAGCGTTCCTGGAGGTGCTGGTTACCTCCTTCGACATCGGACCAGATAAAGTCCAGATCAGCTTGGTTCAGTACAGCAGGGACCCTCACACCGAATTCTACCTGAACACTCACCACGATCAGAGCGCCGTAGTGAAGGCGGTGAGATCGTTTCCGTATCGTGGCGGATCCACAAACACCGGCAGGGCGATGACTTACGTGAGAGAGAAGATCTTCCAGGCCAACAGAGGAGCGAGACCCAACGTTCCTCGCATAAACATCCTCATCACGGACGGGAAATCTTCCGACGCCTTCCACAATCCGGCCACCAAACTGAGGAACGCCGATGTGGAGATATTTGCGGTGGGCGTTAAAGATGCCGTGAGAGGCGAACTGGAGGCCATCGCCAACGAGCCGGCGGCGACACATGTTTACACCGTGGACGACTTTGATGCCTTCACGAGGATTTCCAAAGAGCTGACGCAGTCCATCTGCCTGAGGATCGAGCAAGAACTACGAAACATCATCCAAAGACGTAAGTAATGTTGCTTCAATACTCTATGCTGATGATACCATGCTTTTTACTCAAGTTGTTCAGAGCAATGTGCAGAGAAAGATTGGATCTATTCTGATGTCTTGTCATTTATTACTTATTTATGTTCTGGTTTGATTCAGAAGAGAATCATGTTGAAAGCAATTTTTTTTTAGTATTTCCTTGATGATAGCGCACTTCACTCAACTTCTTTTGAGCAATCTGCAGAGAAACATTGGATTAATGTTTTTTATACTATTCTGATTTCTTAACATTGATTACGCATTTATCGCATCATGTTCTGGTTTGATTCAGAAAATAATCATGTTGAAAGCAAATACATTTGACTAGTATTTGCATTTATACTCTACGCTGATGATACCACACTTTACTCAACTTGTTTTGAGCAATCTGCACAGAAAGATTTAATCGATTCTGTTTTCTTGTCATTGATGACTTATCTTTTCTATCATTTACTGGTTTGATTCTGGTTTGAGGCAGAAAAGAAAGCAAAATCAGACTTTATTTTCAGTAACATTAGCCTGAAATATGTGTGCAAATAAGGCATTTTGCGATTCTCTTTCGTCAAAAGGATAAACAAACGTAATAATCTGTGTATATCAATGCACAATTGGGTGTTTTCTACTGGTTTAAACTGAAGTTGGAGCCTAATTTCAGCTGTAAAGGTGGATAATATGAATTACATGGTTTGAGTGTCGTTCCAGTTCTGCGCAGACATTACTTGTCTGTCATTTGTCACACTGGGCGAGGCACTTGAGGCTCAGCCATGCAGTATAATCAAGTGTTTGGAGGATGATTGCAAGTCGTTTTACCCTTGTGTATCCATTGTTTGGTAGTGGGAATGTTTTACGCAATTGCATGCTTATACTTGGTTTTCTTGCATTGTTTATTCTGTGAAACAAGCTCGTTTTGCATGAACCGAAACGTACAAACCATAGAGATCCAAGATATCAGATCAACCTCTTGGTGTCCAAACAATTAAAATGTTCGCTAACTTTAAATATCAGTAAGAATAACTTTTTCTAGTCATAGAAATCTCAAAGTTTTAACCATTTTCCTCATAATTATGTATTAAAAACAATACTAAGCTCTTTGATATTTACTTTCAGTTTGTTTCTCAGCATATTTCATCAAACCTGATCAGCTGCAACCGTTTTTAGATAAAAAAAATGTACTTTATTTAATGTTTATGTGCTGTGAAGACTAATAAATGCTTTTCATAAGTGCTGGGAATTTAAGTGTGAGAACTACCTGTCAACGTTCATGATTTAGAGCATTTGTAGTGATCAAACCAACATTTGAACAATTAATTACTGCCTCAGTCAGACGATACTCTGTGGAGGAGAATACAGAGCAGCACCAACACATGCTCACAATTACTCTCATGTCACATTTCCAAGAGTGTCTTTCCTTTTTTTCCACCGAGCCCTCCTCCTCCTCTTCGCCTCAATGTGTTTAACACATGTTCGGCTTTTTGATCTTTCAAGGGCAGAGAGAGGTTCCTGCATGTGGAAGTATCACAACTGGGTCAAATAGTGCAGAGATTTCTTTGCATTTGTTTAAACGACTGTCAGGTGTGTTGCCCGTCACGTGTCCGTAAGCAAAACTTTGAAATGCATCCTCCTCCGGGCTGAAGTCATTATCCAACCCCCGAACATCTGGTAGTCAAGAGTTCCTCACAAATGCACTTTTTAACCCACTTAGAGTCAAAAATATTAATTACTCTCCATCTAACTTCGCCAATAGGTCTGCCAGCAGAGTGTGACTCACACCAGCTTTGATTGCCGATTATATAATTCTTATATAATAATGACTTGTCAACAAAGAGACGTGTGCAGGCGCCAACATATGGATTTCACAGCAACCCCCCCCCCCCCCCCCCCCCCTCCTGTTGTTTGAAAGATGGAGCTGTCAGACGGCTTGTAGATTATTATACATCTTAATTAAATAGCATGTAGGTCAGCACGTCTTCCCTCTGGATTCCTTCATTTGATTTCTCTCTTTGAAGGAAGTCTTGGTGTTTTTTTCCACAGTTCAAACGGACTTTTAACCAAGATAAAGTGTTAGCTTCCATTTACCATGATACAAAATAAATACTAGCTGAAGTCAACGCTGCTTTAAGAATATTGTCCCTGCTGTCAGACAGCCCTGCGCGTCGGGGATATGAAACCATTATTTATTCTTTGTTTAAAACCACCAGACTCCTTTCACTAAAACAGTCATTTTACTTTACACGACACAGGTCTACCCGGTCTACTTTAAACAGTACAATTCTAGTTTTTTTCAATGGAGTCTGGAAGTTTTGAAGAGAGCATAGATTTTATATGAGGTGCAAATCTGGCTTTTGGCTTGTTTACGGATACAGAAGATATCATTTAGTTGGCATTAAGATGTTAAATATTTGTCCTTAACTCATGTTGGTTTGGTTCTCTTGATTCCTAAACCATATATATCTCTAACATCACTACGTACAGTAAGATGTGACATATAAACTCAACTAAAGCAGAGGTTAAATCATGATGCTACCGTCTCTCTAAAAAGTACCATCTTGATCATAAATCATCATCCCAACCTTTCTTAATTTACTTCATTGTGTTTTCAAAATGTATTTATTGGGTTTTCCAAAAGCACACTGCTCTTTCATTTGTATTTCTTTCATTAGTCAATTTATTGAACATGTTAGAAACAAAATAATAATAATAATAATAAATATTATAATAATTACAACAAAAAGAAGCAAAATAAAAAATAAAAAAAACGTGTAAGGTATAAACAAATAAAAATATATATTCTCAGTTTCCTTCATGTTCAAAAGGGGCAAGAAGAAGCCTAAAAACGTTTCTGGTCCTCCTCTAGCGTACATTGTTCATGAAAATACAAGTTCAGGTCATCGTCATCAGCATCCGTGATATTTGATTCATTGATTTAAACAAATCATTCCTTTGTACAAAGCAAACAAAAGCCAATACATTTTAAAACGACAAGAATTAGCAAGCATGAGTTCACATGTCCTGCTCTGAACCATTCAGGATTTGGTTTCTAATGATTTGTTTTAGTTTAGATTGCACAGTATTTCAGCTCATCATTTCAGTTATTCCATAGATTAACACCTTTTGTTGTGACGAAATATAGTTTGGAATTTGTTCGTATGGGTGGTTTTTTGAATAAGCAGTTGAAATATTGCTGAATTGACTTTAATTTAAACCTTATTATCCCCCACTGTCTGCAGGCCTGACCCAGCCTCGGGACCTCTCGTTCTCTGAGGTCGGCTCCAGGAGTTTCAGAGCCGCCTGGGAAATGGACGCCACAGATGTCGAGTCCTACCTGGTCCGCTTCAGGCCGGAAAACGGAGACGACGGGCACTATGTGTCCATGTCCGTCCCCGGAGAAACTCTCACTGCTGTCCTCCCTCACCTCACCCCTCTCACCCGCTACGAAGTCAACGTTCAAGCTCAGTACGACAAAGGGAAGAGCCTTCCTGTGACCGGCTTTGAAACCACTTTAGAAGGTATGTAGACTTTTTTTAAGCTTGCAAATACTGTGGTGCATGTATCCTGAGTCCTAAAACCCAGAAATGAGTCAGCATTTTACCACTTCCTGTTCCCTGGTCTGGAAGTCAATGGTTTTTCTGAATGTGTTTTTGGTTGTTAGCCTGAAATAAGGTCTGTGGTTAACACAAGCTGAAGAGATTTTAATTCTACGACATAAAATACTTCAGTAAATACCCCACTGGTGGATTTAAAAACAGTGGTTGCTAATAAATGTCTAAATGAGACGACTAAATGTCGCCACCTTTAGCTTAGCGGTGGTGACGTGAAGTCATGTGACCTTGCTGTAGTTCCTTTATAGCCCAACATTAGCCTAGCATGGGGGATGTGAAGTCATGTGACCATAGTTTAGTTCCTTTATAGCTTAACACTGCTACAAACATTTATTAACATTGCACCAGCAGTAATGCTAACGTAATTCTTTAATATTTGTTGCAGAACGAGGCTCCGTGCAGAACCTGAGAGTTTCCGAAGAGACGACAGACAGCTTCAGAGTGTCATGGCAGCCGGCTCAAGGAGACGTCACTCGCTACAAATTGACATACGAACCAGTAGGAGACGAGAGATCGAGGCTGGAGACGACCACCGCTGGCAGAGAGACGGCCATCGTGCTGCAGGAGCTTCAGCCTAAAACCAAATACCGCGTCACCGTCACGCCTGAATACACATCCGGCTCCGGAGTGCCACTGGACACTGAAGGCACCACCAAAGAAGGTAAAGATAAACATAAAATAAGTACTTTATTGATCCTAATTTGGTGGTTGTTTGCGTTGCAGCAGCATAAAAAGACATGGCATTGTACATAAAAGAAGTTAAAAGACAAGAAATACACAATCCAAAATGTAAACATCTCAAATAGAAATAAAATGGCATTAAAAAAGTAGACAATATGCATGTTGAAAAACAATTAAGTGTGTAAGGAATTACAACTACTTTTGATTTTAATACATGAAAGGATAACAGTATAAAGAGGGGGAAGTGATGTCGGCAGTTAGCACCAAAGGGCTCTCTAGTCAAATGCCTTAACCCAATATTTAAGAAAATAAGAATTATGATTCAGCAGGATAATCTCCACCACTTTATGCTTTTTTAAGTAAAAAGCTAACATTAGGCCAGGGCTTCTCAAACTCCGGACCAAGTTCCGGATCCGGACCGAACTGCAAATCAATCCGGACCGAACCCTGTGTCCCATTATTAAAAAAAAAAATTAAAAACAAAATCTTTTTTTTTAATTTTTATAATTCTGATTCTGATAAATTAATGTACATCATTGTGTACGCGCGTCTTGTGTCTGACGCATTGTGAGAATGAACGTGCATATATATTTACTTGTGTGTGCGAGCGTGACACGCATTGCAGACCGCAAGTTAACCGCAAGTTTACCTTGACTTTCTAATGCTTCTAATGCCTTTTTTTGCCGAGGTTCAAGGTATTGGCTACAGACAAACAGTGCCATTTCTCCCACTAGTTCAAGCCACCATACTGTATGTATGTATTGAATGTGTGTGTGTATACAGGGGCGCCGTTTGGCAGGCAAGTGCTTGGACCAGAAGTGGGCCCCCAAAGAAGGTAGATTAAGAAGGTCCACAGCAACGACAACATGAAACTTTAATTTACTGCAACGACATGCATAGAGCGCCGTAAGAAACTGCTTCTTAATTTCAGTTTCGTTTCTCCGCTCCGGGGGGGGGGGGTACTTTACTGGCATTGATCCGGACCAGTGACCTTGTATAAAGTTCACAAGTGGACCTTTAATTAAAAAGTTTGAGTACCCCTGCATTAGGCTATAAAGGAACTACAGCACGGTCACATGACTTCATGTCACCACCGCTAAGCTAAAGGCGGCTAATGTTGGGCTATAAAGGAACTACAGCACAGTCACATGACTTCACGTCACCACCGCTAAGCTAAAGGTGGCTAATGTTGGGCTATAAAGGAACTACAGCACAGTCACATGACTTCACGTCACCACCGCTAAGCTAAAGGTGGCTAATGTTGGGCTACATTTCCTGTCTTTATTCAAGTGTTAGCAGTGATAGCAGTTTCCCCAATGTCCATCAAGCTAGATTGTCAATAAAGCTGATTAGAATTTACGAAAATATGCTCCATGTTATTTCAGATCTTGACTCAATCATCGAATATAATCTGTTTCTACTGTATCAAAAGCAATCCAGGTGTTGTTTGTATCTCCATGGTGACGGAGCAAACAGAAACAGATAGTAGCAAAAACAGCTCTACTTCACATGGAGCAGATTATTCAAACTATAAACAATAGTATGAAAAACAATAAACTGGGCTCAGGGTCAGTGTGTGGTAATAACGGCAATGTGACAGACACATGGGGAATGTACTCCATCTGTTCGCATTAACACGATCATGATGCATTATGGGAAATGTAGTGCAGACACTCAAAATGTGGAGGTCCGTTTACGCCAATGTGATAAAGAGGATCATGTTAGGCATTATAAAAAGGTGTAAAGTATATCTAGAAACGACCTAATGTTTAATACATAGATAATATGTATTTTAGGAGAGAACAAACTGCTGTTTAAGACTATTTTTATTAAATTAAATAGGTCATGGCTGACATGGCTATTTCATGTTTTTCATGTGCAAAAATGTAGACATTTAGAAGTTTTTATTTTTTTTTTTACTTGCGGATATACAAAAGAAACACAATTTCTAACAAAAATAAATTCAAAATGTTGAGCTATCAATTCATTTTTTGATTGTAGTGTAGCTAAAAATGTCCCAACAACAAGGTCCTGTACATTATACATTACATTTAGCTGATGCATTTATCCAGAGTGAGTTACAATAGGTGCATAAACCATCAAGATACAAACTCAGAACAACAAGAAACGTACAGATATATTCATTTTAAATAAGCCAAACCATTGACCAAGATCCAGTCGAAACAGGTTTCACAAAATCTTTAAAACATTATTTCTTTGTCATGGAAATATAGTAAATGCCATGACTCCATAAACTCCAAAAGGTGGCGAGTCTTTGTTCCAAAACTACAAAAGATGTTGGGTCTGAAGTTTGATCTCTGAAACCTGAGCTGCTGGTTAGGTAATGGTTGAGTCACCGGTTCTGATCCACAACAGGTGCCTCTGTTTGTGCTTTGGGACAGTTCAAACTATGTAAAAAAAAACCTTTGAAATGATGGATGATGAAAACATTCTGGGTGCAAGCTGTGTTTCCATCTATCTGCGTCATTCAAAGACCCCGGTGGAAATCACTTCAGACGTCTTTCTGACATCTTGAGTGACTCTATTTGGCTTTTTTAAACGTCGTCATCTGCCATTTGGCGTTTGCTTTTCATTCCTACGTGGCCTGGGAGTGCCAGGACTCCAAACCTTTCTGACCTCCTCACTTTTTAGCGGTGTTAGTACAAGCTGCCACCCATCGTGCTTCAGATCTCCCTCTAAGGGGAAGGAATGGAAAACAGACAGAAGCACAGAAAGCTGCCGGCCAAGATGTACTCGGTGGTCATAAACAATGAAGAGGGAAGAGTAGGCAGGGGTGGGAAGTTACTAAGTAAATTCTCAAGCTACCCTGCAGTATACAAAGTCATTCAAACTACAGTAGCTGCACCTTTACCAGCTTTGAGAACACTTTCATGATCAATCATTATAAAACATATCATATATATTATTCTGAAATGGACCAATCTGCACAATGACTACTTTTACTGTCGCTACTTTCACTATATTTTGATGATAATACTTTTCTACTTTTACTTGAGGAACATTTTGAATGCTGGACTTTTACTGTAACATAGTATTCCTACACTCTGGTACTTCTACTTTTACTCAAGTACAAGATCTGAGTACTTCTAATTTTACTCAAGTACAAGATCTGAGTTCTTCTACTTTTACTCAAATACAAGATATGAGTACTTATATGAGTACTAATTTTACTAAAGTACACAATCTAAGTACTTCTTCCTCCTCTGAGCGTAGGAGGTTTTCTCTTCACTACTCTTGGTGATATTTCTTGACTCTTGACGGGAGATATTATCTCCTGGAGGAACTTGTTAGCTTCAGAGCGTCTGGGAGGAAGCACATTATCATCGACCTTGAGCCAAAACACTGGAAATAAACACAATACATTCCCAGCTTCCATGGCAATAGCATTTCTCCGAGTAGTGAGAGTTCTCCTCAGACAGGAAAACAGCTGCTTGTCTTCTGAGGTGGATTTTTTTTGTGATGGTTTATAAAAAGAGGCAATTGGATTAATCCCAGCTTGCACCTCTTTGACATGAAACACCCAGCTGGCTGTCAGATGGATTCATGGTTTTCCTTTCTCCCCCGTATAGGGCTTACGATATTGTTCCTATTACAATGTTTACCGTACCATGACTCTATCTGAAAACTATGAATCGATGCAAGTCTTTTCCACGAGTCCTACAGTGGCACAGAGGTTACAGCAGCCGCTAGGAATCACTTCACACGTTTTCTGACAACTGGGAGGGAAATTAAGTGCATTTCACTTTAAATCCTTGACATTTTCATTACTAAGCAGGAAAAATACACAAAGGCCGATCCAGCAATAAAACATCTCTCAGCACTAGGTGTTAACACCAGAGCAAATGACTCACCCATTTATTTTAACAATTCTTTTCAAAGGGGAATTGTTTGAACTTGCCCTACTTACACTAAATCAGATCCTGGGAGCTTCCCAGTTTTCTACTGTGCACAAACTGGAGCTCTCTGACTAACTCAGAGTCTCGGTCGAAGGCATTTCAGACGTTGGCAGCAGTCAAATACTAAAAGAAGAAACATTACGTCCTGTCTTTTCCTATCAGTTTTCTTTCTACTTGATGGTACATTTCATGATTTCAAGGAAAAATGTGATTCCTCCTGGGGGAGAATCTGGTGGGGTTGGGTTTTCAGCATGTGTGCCTTTTTATGTTATACAGTTCAGCTTTGATTCCATCATCTCATTAAACCTTATTTAAAAGCATTCTTCAGTTCTGTGAAGGCATATGAGGGATATATGCACTGTACTTCACTTTCATTAATAATGTATGCTGAAAAGCGTATATATATTACAGCACGATTTTTTGTTGAATAGATTTGAGTGGTTCAAAATTTCGGGTCACGATCTATTGACAAAGGAAAAAGTGGGTCCTGAGGCCTGACCAGTTGAGAACCACTGCTCTAGGAGGAGATTCAGGTGATAGGGGGGGGAGGGTTACCTTGGTTGCTGATTGGCTAATGGTTACACAAGCCAAAACATCGTTATGACATCATGAAGTGGCCAAAATCTGATCAGCTCATTTTCAGACAGGTTTTTATAAAAATAGATCAGGAGAAAAAGAGAGAGAATCTTTGTTCCTGAGACTTTCAGAGTCTCTTTCCACAGAGGCCCTTTGTTCAGATATCATCTATTTCTAGCAGAAAGGCGCTGACAGAGCCTGATACGTTGAAAAACAAACTTCTCCTCCAATTTCTACAGTGATGTGTTTCAGAAAAACCAAGCAGTTAGACACCAAGCCAGTGTTAGTGTTCAGCTAAGAGTCCCATATCCTCCCGTTATTAGCTCTGGCTTGGTCTCCACTAACTCCTGATAAACACTTTTAGCTCTTTAGCTGCTAAACTGACTTTCTTTACCAGCTGGTCTCTAACTGTGTATGGTTGCTGTTTGGTAATGAGACTAAACCAGACCTTAAATGTGCATTAAAACCAAAACAAGATGCTAAAAGA